GGACGGACTGATGGCACTGTCTCTCCTACGAGGACGCACTGACTGCACTGTCTCTCCTACGAGGACACACTGACTGCACTATCTCTCCTACGAGGACGGACTTATGGCACTGTCTCTCCTACGAGGACGCACTGACTGCACTGTCTCTCCTACGAGGACAGACTGAGGGCACTGTCTCTCCTACGAGGACACACTGACTGCACTGTCTCTCCTACGAGGACAGACTGAGGGCACTGTCTCTCCTAAGAGGACAGACTGAGGGCACTGTCTATCCTACGAGGACAGACTGAGGGCACTGTCTATCCTACGAGGACAGACTGAGGGCACTCTCTATCCTACGAGGACAGACTGAGAGCACTGTCTATCCTACGAGGACTGACTGAGGGCACTGTCTATCCTACGAGGACAGACTGAGGGCACTGTCTATCCTACGAGGACAGACTTAGGGCACTGTCTATCCTACGAGGATAGACTGAGGGTACTGTCTATCCTACGAGGATAGACTGAGGGCACTGTCTATCCTACGAGGATAGACTGAGGGCACTGTCTATCCTACGAGGACAGACTGAGGGCACTGTCTATCCTACGAGGACAGACTGAGGGCACTGTCTACCTACGAGGACAGACTGAGGGTACTGTCCTATCCTACGAGGATAGACTGAGGGCACTGTCTATTCCTACGAGGACAGACTGAGGGCACTGTCTATCCTACGAGGACAGACTGAGGGCACTGTCTATCCTACGAGGACAGACTGAGGGCACTGTCTCTCCTACGAGGACAGACTGAGGGTACTGTCTATCCTACGAGGACAGACTGAGGGTACTGTCTATCCTACGAGGACAGACTGAGGGCACTGTCTATCCTACGAGGATAGACTGAGGGCACTGTCTATCCTACGAGGACAGACTGAGGGCACTGTCTATCCTACGAGGACAGACTGAGGGCACTGTCTATCCTACGAGGACAGACTGAGGGTACTGTCTATCCTACGAGGATAGACTGAGGGCACTGTCTATCCTACGAGGACAGACTGAGGGCACTGTCTATCCTACGAGGACAGACTGAGGGCACTGTCTATCCTACGAGGACAGACTGAGGGCACTGTCTCTCCTACGAGGACAGACTGAGGGTACTGTCTATCCTACGAGGACAGACTGAGGGTACTGTCTATCCTACGAGGACAGACTGAGGGCACTGTCTATCCTACGAGGATAGACTGAGGGCACTGTCTATCGTACGAGGACAGACTGAGGGTACTGTCTACCCTACGAGGATAGACTGAGGGTACTGTCTATCCTACGAGGACAGACTGAGGGTACTGTCTATCCTACGAGGATAGACTGAGGGCACTGTCTATCCTACGAGGACAGACTGAGGGCACTGTCTATCCTACGAGGATAGACTGAGGGCACTGTCTATCCTACGAGGACAGACTGAGGGTACTGTCTATCCTACGAGGATAGACTGAGAGCACTGTCTATCCTACGAGGACAGACTGAGGGTACTGTCTATCCTACGAGGATAGACTAAGGACATTGAATCTGCACTCTGTAGAAAGGCGTTGAATTAGGGACGATATGATTGAGATGTGTAAATGGTAGACAGGATTAAATAAATCGCTTGAAAATAACGTGTTTGAACTATCTAACCAAGACAGGACTAACAGCAGTGAGTTCAAGTTGGAAAAATTTTGATTTAGAAAGGATATAGGAAAGCATTGGTTTGGTAATAGAGTTGTGGATGAGTGGAACAAACTCCCGAATAGCGTTGTTGAAGCTAAAACCTTGTGTAGCTTAGAAACGGCTTAGACAATTACATGAGTGGGTTTGAGTTCGACCTGCCTAGCATGAGCCATTAGACTTTCAGCAATGCTCCTTCCTTCTTAGGTTATTGTGTCAACTAGGACTCTAGTGAACTATTCAGCAGTATACATGAGTAGCTGACCAGCCAGGTTGTGGTTCCTTCGTTGGATTGTGTGAGACCAGCAAAAACAGCCTGGTTGATCAGGCTTTGATCCACCGTATTACACACACAGGTAAAGTCCTGTGGCCTGCACACTTGGCTGTAGCACAATAACCAAGGTAGGAATGTGGAACGAGCACAAATCAGCAGTGAGTATATACTCACGTATACTTTTCCTTCACCAAAACATTATCCAAGTATATATACAGTGTATATACTGTGTATATACACCAGATTTAAATGGTTATAATCATGGCCATAATTTTTAAAGGAGCAGACCGATAAGCTTCAGCTGCGGATCATCATATGATTAAGACCAGCATCAGGAAACACTTGTACTGTTTCCTGACAAACCTTACCTAACCTAACTATGTACAAAGCAAGTTCGGCAAGCAAGAGACACAGTGAGAACTGTGAGCAACCAGACTTAATTAAGATAGGATTTCGTTCGGATTTTTAACCCAGGAGGGTTAGCCACCCAAGATAATCCAAGAAAGTCAGTGCGTCATCGAGGACTGTCTAACTTATTTCCATTGGGGTCCTCAATCTTGTCCCCCAGGATGCCACCCACACCAGCTGACCAACACCCAAGTACCTATTTGCTGCTAGGTGAACAGGACAACAGGTGTAAGGAAACGCGTCGAAATGTTTTCACCCCGTGCGGAATCGAACCCGAGCCCTCCGCGTGTGAAGCGGGAGCTTTGCCAGCCAGGCCACGGGGTCACCCATGGCCTGGCAGTGTTCTGCCAGTGTTGCTTCACGAGTCCCAGACATCCCTTCAAAACACTGACGAACTTCCTGGTCATGGACTGGGTCGTGGACTGGGTCATGGACTGGGTCATGGACTGGGTCATGGACTGGGTCATGGACTTGGTCGTGGACTGGGTCATGGACTGGGTCATGGACTTGGTCAAGGACTGGGTCGTGGACTGGGTCATGGACTGGGTCATGGACTGGGTCATGGACTTGGTCATGGACTGGGTCATGGACTGGGTCATGGACTGGGTCCCGGGGATGTTGGTCCCCGGACCACGTTCCAGGTATACTGTAGGTATCCCTGCTATATGGGGTATATAGGAGTGAATATCCCTGCCACATGGGAGACAGGTATAAAGGAGTGTAAATTAATGCTATATTTGGGTATAGGAGTGTATATCCCTCATATAAGGGTATATATTAGTGAATAGCGTTGATAAAGGGGTACATAAGGGACATGTAATTGTGTATCCCTTTCATGTGGGGATATACGAATGTAAATCCCTACTATGTGGAGAAATTAACAATTGCACTCATACGAGTGTACATTCACGCTATATGGGGTATAAACGAGTTAATATCCCTGCTATATAGAGTATATGTGAGTTAATATCCCTACTATACAAAGTATATACGAGTGAATATCCCTGTTAAATAGAGTATAAACGAGTGAATATTTCTGTTATATACAGTTAATATGAGTGGTTATCCCTGATATATGAGGCATATACGAGTGAATATTCTTGCTATTTAGGGGATATACAAGTGAATATTCCTCCTATATGGTGTATATACGAGTGAATATTCCTGCTTTATAAGGAACATGCGATTCAATATTCATGACATATAGGGTGAATATCCCTGCTATATAGGATGAATAAGAGTGAATATCACTGCTATATGGGTATGTATTAGTGAATATCCCTGGTGTATGGGGTATATATACAAACATATATCCCTGGTATATGAGGGCGTATATACGAGCATATATCCCCGGTGTATGGGGATGTATATACAGCGTATATCCCTGGTGTACGGGATGTATATACAGCGTATATCCCTGGTGTATGGGGATGTATATACAGCGTATATCCCTGGTGTATGGGGGTGTATATACAGCGTATATCCCTGGTGTATGGGGTGAATATACAGTGTATATGCCTGGTGTATAGGGATGCATATACAGCGTATATACCTGGTGTAAGGGGTGTATATACAGCGTATATCTCTGGTGTATAGGGATGTATATACAGCGTATATACCTGGTGTATTGAGGTGTATATACAGCGTATATCCCTGGTGTATGGGGTGTATATACAGCGTATATCCCTGGTGTATCGGAGAGTATATACAGCTTATATCCCTGGTGTATGGGGATGTATATACAGCGTATATCCCTGGTGTATGGGGGTGTATATACAGCGTATATCCCTGGTGTATAGGGATGTATATACAGCGTATATACCTGGTGAATGGGGGTGTATATACAGCGTATATCCCTGGTGTATAGGGATGTATATACAGCGTATATACCTGGTGTATGGAGGTGTATATACAGCGTATATCCCTGGTGAATGGGGTGTATATACAGCGTATATCCCTTGTGTATCGGGGTGTATATACAGCGTATATCCCTGGTGTATGGGGGTGTATATACGAGCGTATATCCCTGGTGTATGGGGGTATATACACAGCGTATATACCTGGTGTATGAAGGTGTATATACGAGCGTATATCCCTGGTGTTTAGGGTGTATATACAGCATATATCCCTGGTGTATGGGATGTATATACAGTGTATATGCCTGGTGTATAGGGATCCATATACAGCGTATATACCTGGTGTATGTGGATGTATATACAGCTTATATCCCTGGTGTATAGGGATGTATATACAGCGTATATACCTGGTGTATGGAGGTGTATATACAGCGTATATCCCTGGTGTATGGGGTGTATATACAGCGTATATCCCTGGTGTATGGGGTGTATATACAGCATATATCCCTGGTGTATGGGGATGTATATAAGAGCGTATATCCCTGGTGTATGGGGGTGTATATACAGCGTATATCCCTGGTGTATGGGGGTGTATATACAGCGTATATCCCTGGTGTATGGGGGTGTATATACAGCGTATATCCCTGGTGTATGGGGGTGTATATACAGCGTATATCCCTGGTGTATGGGGGTGTATATACAGCGTATATACATAGAGTGGCAACCTGGTATGGTTCAATAGAGAGCGGCCATGTTGGCTAAGATCTCAGTGTGCGTGTGACCGTGGTGGGGGGAGGATACACCGCGCCGCTGCTCTTCAACCCTCAGAGAGCCGCTCCATCCGGGCTCACAGAGCTTAATTTGGCAGAGCTATCACGGGGAAACAGCGACAGCTGTCAAGGGGGGAGGGAGGTGCTGTCTGTGTGCGTCTGTCGAGTGCCTTCCCCCCGTCGGTGATTGTGATATTTCAACTTCCACAAATCGATTTTTTTTATGCGTTGTGAGTGAAAATGAAGTGTTTTGGTGACTAGGTGTAGCTAGGTGCTTCCCTAGGTGCCTAGCTAGGTGCCATGAGGCCTGCGGTGTTGTGTGTGCTACTGGCCATAGGAATAACCTACCCTTCAAGCACGTCCAGCTACGGTAAGTAGTAACGTGTTGTGGCACACAGGTGCGTGTGTTGTGGCACCTAGGTGCGTGTGTTGTGGCACCTAGGTGCGTGTGTTGTGGCACCCAGGTGCGTGTGTTGTGGCACCCAGGTGCGTGTGTTGTGGCACCTAGGTGCGTGTGTTGTGACACCTAGGTGCGTGTGTTGTGGCACCCAGGTGCGTGTGTTGTGCCACCTAGGTGCGTGTGTTGTGGCACCTAGGTGCGTGTTGTGGCATCTAGGTGTGTGTTGTGGCACCTAGGTGCGTGTGTTGGGGACCTAGGTGCGTGTGTTATGGCACCTAGGTGCGTGTGTTGCGGCATTTAGGTGCGTGTGTTGTGGCACCTAGGTGTGTGTGTTGTGGCACCTAGGTGTGTGTTGTGGCACCTAGGTGCGTGTGTTGGGGACCTAGGTGCGTGTGTTGTGGCACCTATGTGCTTGTGTTGTGGCACCTAGGTGCGTGTGTTGGGGCACCTAGGTGTGTGTTGGGGGACCTAGGTGCGTGTGTTATGGCACCTAGGTGCGTGTGTTGTGGCATTTAGGTGCGTGTGTTGTGGCACCTAGGTGCATGTGTTGTGGCACCTAGGTGCGTGTGTTGTGGCATTTAGGTGCGTGTGTTGTGACACCTATGCGTGTGTGTTGTGGCGCCTAGGTGCGTGTGTTGGGGACTTAGGTGCGTATTGTGGCACCTAGGTGCGTGTGTTGTGGCATTTAGGTGTGTGTTGTGGCACCTAGGTTCGTGTGTTGTGGCACCTAGGTGCGTGTGTTGTGGCACCTAGGTGCGTGTGATGGGGCACCTAGGTGCGTGTGTTGTGGCACCTAGGTGCGTGTGTTGGGGCACCTAGGTGCGTGTGTTGGGGGAACCTAGGTGCGTGTATTGTGGCATCTAGAGACCTCTGTTGTGACACCTATGTGCGTGTGTTGTGGCACCTCGGTACCTGTTTTGTGGCACCTAGGTGCATGTGCTGTGACACTTAGGTGCTGTTTTGTAGCACCTAAGTACCTGTAGCACCAGGTAACCAGGTGTTGTGACACCTTGGTGCTGTGTTATGGCTCCTAGGTGCCTGTTTTGCGACACCTAGGTGGCTGTGTTGTTGCACCTGGGTGCTGTGTTTTGGCACCTATCTGATGTGTTACACCTAGGTACCTGTGTTGTGGCACGAAGGTGCCTCTGTTGAGGCACATAGGTGCTATCATGGAAGTAGCATGTTGTTTGTATGGGAGACCTAGGTGCTATATAGAGATCCTTTGCTGAGGCATCTAGGTGCTGTGTTGCGGCACCTAGGGGCTGTTTTGAGGCCTATGTGCTGTATGAGAGGTAGCATTTTGTCTGTGCGAGAGACGTAGGTGTTTTAAGGCACCAAGGTGCTGTATTAAGGCACCTAGGTCCTGTATTTAAGCACCTAGGTCTTGTGTTGAGGCACCTAGGTGCTTAATTGAGATCTGGGTCCTGTGTAGAGGCACCTAGGAGCTGGGTTTAGGCATTTAGGTACTCTCTTGAGGCACCTAGGTCCTGTTTTTATGCACAGAAGAGCTCTGTTGAGGGAAGTAGCGTAGTGTTTGTGCAAGAGACGTAGGTGCTGTGTTAATGCACCTAGGTGTTCTGTTGAGGAACATATTTGCGTTGATAGTCGTAGGTGCTATTTTTAGGCCCTTAGGTGGTGCTGAAAGACGTAGGTGCTATATTGAGCGACTTAGGTGCTATGATGAGGCACGTGGGTGCTGTTTGGTGGAACGTATGTGTTCTCACGTGTGCTGTAATATCACATAGGTGTCATCGGGTGTACTGTAACATCCCATAGGTGTTATCGGGTTGCTGTAATATCACATAGGTGTTGTCGAGTGTATTGTAACTTCACATAGGTGTTATGTTGTAACAACACTTAAGTTTTAACAAGTGTATTGTAACATAATGTACTAGGTGTTATCTGGTGTGTTGTAGAATCACATAGGTGTTAGTTGTTGTGATATCACATAGGAGTTTGCGAGTGCATTGTAACATCACATTGGTGTTATCTGGTGTGTTTTATCATCACATAGGTGTCATCTGGTGTGTTATAGCATCAGTTAGGTGTTATGTGGTGTGTTGTAGCATCACATAGGTGTTATCGAGTGTGTTGTAACATCACATAGGTGTCATCTGGTGTGTTATAGCATCAGTTAGGTGGTATCTGGTGTGTTGTAGCATCACTTAGGTGTTACATGGTGTGTTATCGCATCGCATAGGTGTTATCCGGTGTTTTGCAGCATCACATAGGTGTTATCTGGTGTGTTGTAGCATTACGTGTACTTCTTAGCCTTACGTAGGTGTTATCATGTGTATTACCACATATGCTACGTAGAGGGACACAGGTGCCATAACCTGTGTTGTAGCATCATTTGTGCTATGAGCCATAGGTGTTCATATGTCATTGCATCAGGTAACGAGACATAGGTGTTCTAATGTTTGCTACACAGTGACACATAGGCATTTTCACGTGTGCTACATAGTGTTACATAGGTGTTTTCACGTCTGCTATGTAGCACATAGGTGCTCTCACATGTGCTGTGTAGTATCACATAGGTGCTCTCACGTGTGCGATGTTGCATCGCATAGGTGCTTTCATGTGTGCTATGTAGCATTTAGGTGCTCATGTGTGCTATGTTGCGTCACCTAGGTGCTCTCATGTGCGTTGTTGCATCACATAGATGCTTTCATGTGTACTGTGTAGCGTCACATATGTGCTCTTATGTGCTGCAGCATAACATATGCTGTGTGCTTCACTTCTGTACTCGCAAGGCCGTGTTTGTCCTCAAATCTTGTACTCTGAGTGTAACTTAATGTTTAAATTCTTGTTTTGTACTCTAAAAGGACGTGTTTTGAAATCAAAAGTTCTTTCGTACTCTAAAAGTTCTGTTTTGTACATTGAATGTCATGCTAGTACTCAAATGTACTCAGAGCGTAACCTTATGTTCAGACTCCAGCAAAACACTTCGGATTTTGTACTCTCAAAATATGTTCAAATGGCAAATCTTGTACTCGCAAGCTGTTTGTACTCCAGATTTTGTGCTATAACTCTAATCTTGTGTTCAGACAGTTTTTTTTTCGTCAGTTTGTCCTGTACTCTTAAGCATAGGCATATGTTTAGACTCGAGATTTTGTACTCGCTGTATGACGTTTGTACTCGCGTTTAGCGCAGTGACCACATCCAAGTGTTCGAAATAGCAGTTTTGTACTCGGTAGCATGTGTTTGTTCGTAGGTACTCGCATTATGTACTCGCAAACCCGTATCTGTATTCAAACCTAATTTCTAAACTCCAGTGTTGTACTCTCAGTTGTGTGTGTACTCAGTTCTGCTCTGAGTGTAATCTAAGTTTCGGAATCTGAAATTTAATTTTGTACTCTGATGTACTCTACTTGTAGGTCTCCCCTTCCTGTCACAGTCGGTATTTCACTGTGGCTGTGAAAGATGGGGAATTTGAGCCTATGATGAAGATGGAGAGATGGGTATCTTGGTAGGCCTACTGGCCTATGCTAGACAGGTCCACCCAGGGCTTGGTGATCTCACATCAAATTTACCAGGTTGTGGAGGAAATCTTATAGGCCTGCTTAGGGCCTGTTAGGACGGTAGTATCATTTACCTGTACCTTTGATGAGTTCCGAGTGTTTTTCTAACAGCGTGGTCAACCAGGCTGCCCCACATATCCATCATAGCCTGGTTGATCTGGCACCTGGTGAAGATACCTGTCCATTTTCGTCTTGAAAACTTTTGCAATTGTCCCAGCAGTGTTTGTGGTATCTACTGGTAGGGTGTTGAATAGTCTGGGGCCAAGGATGTTGATACAGAGTTCCCTTATTGTGCCCGCGGCGCCCTTGCTTTTCACTAGGTTTATTTTTGCACTTTCTCCCATATACGTCACCACAGTATGTTGTTATGGCAGTGTGTAGATCATATTTCTCACCCCAGTATGGCAGTGTATAGATCACATCTCTCACTCTAGTATGGCAGTGTATAGCTCACATCTCTCACTCTAGTATGGCAGTGTATAGATCACATCTCTCACTCCAGTATGTTGTCAAGTACTTTCCAGGTATATATTATCATGTGTCTCTCCTCCGTTCCAGTGAGTACATGTTTTAAGACGAAGTCATTTAAATTCTTTACTTAAATGTTCTACATGGGTGGTAAACTACCACTGTATACGTTCCAGCTCCGATATTTCTCCTTCCTTGCATGGCGCCGTCAACGCTGAACAATATATCAAGTGAAGGAGCACCAGCGATTTGGAATGTGTCACAATTGGCTTTATTTCCCTTGTTTTGAAGGTTCTCATTATCCACCCGGTCATCCTCCTGGCTGTCGTGACCTTGGTCTTATTATGTTCCTTAAAATTAAGGTCAGCTGACATAATTATTCCCAAGAGTTCCACGTGTTCCTTTCGTTCTATTTGGTGACCTTCTTGAGTTTTGTATATAGTGCTCCTTTTGAGTTCTTCATTCTTTCCATACCTAAGCAGCTGGAACTTACCACCACTGAACGTCATGTTGTTCTTCACTGCCCACTGGAAAACACTGCTTATGTCTTCCTGTAATTTTTCAGTGTCCTCTACCGTAGTGACTTTCATGCTTATTTTAGTGTCATCAGCAAATGATGATACAAAACTGTGTCGGGTGTTTTTATCTATGTCTGCTGTGAGTATGAGAAACAGCAGAGGTGCCAGGACAGTACCTTGGGGCACTGAGCTTTTTACCTCGCTGATGCTGGATTTTTCTCTGTTTACTACTACTTTTTGTGTTCTGTGTGTTAGGAATCTTCTCCGTAATGCACATGGCATTTTTTCTTCGCGTGCAACCACCCCATGATTGCAATTGCATTTGTCAAACGCCTTTGCAAAATCTGTATAAATCACATCTGCATAATGCCTTTTTGTCATAGTGATTCAGCAGCTGTGACAGGCATGATCGTCCTGCTCTACAACCATGTATTTCTGGGTTATGCAGATTGTGGTGTTCTGA